TCTTAAGGATTTTAGCTGTGTTTTTTTTATTGGTCTGTCTGTTGTTCTGTAGCTCTTGCGCAATGCATTGTAAGACCCCATGGGAGGCAGTTCTACCCACTTGGCTTTTCAGGAAGTGAAAATGAGGGGCATCAGTAAAGTAAGAAGAAGAAGTCCATTGTTTTTTTTTCTTTTTTCCCCCCTTTTTTATTTATTTTTCCTTCTTTTGTGTGCTGGGGTCTCATTCTCTCTTCTGGGAGAATACGTTTTGTTTACATGCATGCCTCTTTTTTTTCTTATTGTTATTCTTGCGCGTCTGCTGACATTTCATTTTTTTCGGCTTTGCTCGAGGCCCGCGTAGTGATAATATACATAGGCCATTCTGCATAAGTACGTATACAGTAGAAGTTGCGGTATATTATAACATGTATATGAAGAAGTAACTATGGACCGCCTCGTATCCTCTGCAGTGACTGTCGGCAAGGTGATCCTTGTCCAGCTGATGGGCATGTGGGCCTCACGCCACTTTACCGCCAAGGAAAAATCGCTCAAGGCACTCAGCCACATTTGCGTGAAAATATTTCTACCACTCCTGCTCTTTTCACAGCTGGCGATGGTTCTCTCGTGGGAGATGATTTATAAATATTACTGGGCGTGCATATTGCCGCTTATTCCGATGACACTGGGCTTTTCCTCGGCCTACGCTTTTCGCTCGTGTATTCCTGAGGAGTTTTATGGTCTCTTTCAGCTGGCCTGCACGTTTCAAAGCATCGTCTCTTACGGCCTGGGAATTGTTCTGAATCTCGAAATTCCTTGGTGGAGCAAGGAGAATAAAAGTGAGGCGCAGTCCTATGTCTTTCTTTTCAACGTGCTGCACTCCATATTTCTCTGGTCGGTTGGCACAATGATTGTTGAGAAGGGTGCGATGGCCTTGGAGGAAAAGAATGCGGCCGCAGCGGCGACGGAAGCGGCTGCCGTTGTTGCTTTCGCGTCAACACCCGACACGAATGACGCTGCGAATGAGTCGGAAGGAGCTTTGGGAGCGTGTTACGACCGTGAACAACATAAGCCGGCGCGACAGTTAGACGAATACAAGCCTGCCCCGCCTCCTTCTTTCGCACCAGCACCGGTGCCTCCGAATAAAGTGTCCACGACAGATTTAACGTGGATGGAGTACATCCGCCTGCAGCTGCCGTACCTTCTCACAGAGCAACTGATCGCCAGTTTTTTGGGTTTGTTGATTGCTCTGGTTCCGCCTTTCTACCTGCTGCTAAAAAATCCTGTGGGGGAGATGTTAATGGGTGGAATTGCACTGCTGGCTCCAGGCGCCGTGCCGCTACAACTTTTGTTGCTCGGCGTCAATGTCACTGCCGAGGGTGATGGCTCGGCAAAACTCCCCGTGCGTTTTCTGGTGGGAGTTATTGTTCTTCGCCTCTTTTTTGTCCCCCTCATTTGCTTCGGCATCATCCACCTTCTCTTGGTGTATGGTCTTATGCCGTACGACAAGCCGTTTGTATTGGTGATGCTAATACTGACCTCTGCTCCGACGGCAGTAAACACGTCTAGCATATGCTCCATTTATTCATATAAAGTGAGGGAGTTCACCAAATTGCTGCTTTTCATGTATGTTGCTTGCATCTTTACGACAACTGTCTGGCTTACAATGTATATGTGGTATCTGGACTCCTAGATCAAGTTGGTTTCCCATTCACAGACAGCACACGCATGCGCAGAGCATGAAGCATGATATCAAAGTGAAAGTAGGAGGTGTAACGGTTAACTACCAACCCACATTTATATCCCCCCTTCTCCTCCCCATTCGGCCTTGAGAGGCCTATGGTAAGTTTTTAGTCACTTTATGTGTGTCTCTATGGCTGCATGCTTGTATGCGTGCTTCTTTGGTAGGATATAGTTTTTTTTAATTTTATCTTATTTTATTTTTTATTTTTGCTTTCAAGCACCACACCAAATCAGTGATTAGTTTTTTTTCTCCCATTGGTGTTTTTAGTTCCCCTTTTCTCACGTTCTTGCCGTCTATTATATATGTTCTTTTGCAAGGACCTCTTTCTTTGCGTGTGGAGGCTTCTGGCCACGGTAGCTTCATGAAGAGTATGGTTTGTGTCACAAGTGAGTTCCCAAGTTTTTTTTTTGTTTTCTTTCTGCGTGTTATTTTTACAATTCGCAAGCGTTATGAACTTCTTGCTATGTTATGTTTCTGTTTTCGTGTGTTCGGCTAGAGACACAGGGGTTGACTGCTGCTGGGACGTGGCGTCGTTGTGGTTGGCGATGCCTCTTCTTTCCGTTCCTTCTTACTTCATAGTGTCGACGTCCTAAACGGGACACGGCGGGTGTGTGTTGCGACTCTAGGCACGCAGCAGCACAAACGACGCTCGGGTCGACACAAGAAGGGGAATGCAGGGACGAAGAAGCGGAACTCTTGCGTCTTGAACGACTCCATTAGGTCACTGATGCAGACTTTGCTTGAGATGGCAAGCGACGCCCTCTGTGGAACATTTATATGTATATATATGCTTCCTATTTATCCTTCACTCGTTTTTAATGGTATAATTTATCGGTACTGCCGCAGCAATCCCCACACCATTTCTATCTGTTCTCGCTGCCACGTGCGGGGCTTCTCCGGTGGTGGCGCCTTGTTGGCGGCTGTGGGGAGGCGTCTGTTGCTCTCCTGTGCCCCCCGCCTCCTAAATTGTGCGTGGGTGCGTGCTGGGGCCTGTCGCTGCTGCTGTTCTCGTCTGTGCGCTCGGTGGGAGGATCCTTCTGCTTTTTTTTTTGCATCCCATGTGTCTCAGGGTGCCGCGTGCGCAAATTGCAGGGGTGAGGGAAGCTTGGTGCGTGAGGGCACGTGTGTGAGTGTGTGGAGAGGCGATGGCGTCCGTGTCCAAGCGGCGTGTCGCCATGATCACCGGCATCACCGGGCAGGACGGGTCGTACCTTGCGGAGCTGCTCCTCGAGAAGGGCTACGATGTGCACGGCGTCATCCGGCGGTCTTCGTCCTTCAACACGGGCCGAATCGACCACATCTACCGCGACGAACACCTCACGCTCCACTACGGCGACATGACGGACGGGACGGTGCTGCACCGCCTCATTGCGCGGCTGCGGCCGGACGAGGTGTACAACCTCGCCGCAC